TATTAATGACAGTCATTATCTTTGAATAATGAAAATGTGTTTTGATGATAAAACGTATAGGTATTTAGTTTTAGTTATATGAAACGTAGATCAGGTTTAAGTTAAATACAATTGTAATTTTTTTAAGAATCTAGGAATTCTTTTCTTCCGCCAATCATCATCATCGTAAAAAATAAATAAACTTCATCGAATTTCGAACGAATTGAGAATAACTCTTCGTCTTCCAGCTTGTCTTCCGAATAAGCTTTCTTAAATATCAGAAGTGTTGACTCATGTCCTTTCTCTAATATTTCCTGAAACGAAATACTTTCTTGGAAGAGTTAAAAGAGTCGTCTTCTCGTAAAAGTAACCCTTTCATCGCGAGCTGTCTCAATTATCGTACACCAGAGAGTTAGCGAAAACTAAGGAAACAGGGAAAATAAAAACATTTGTCGTAAAGGGGAGCCGTTTGTTTATTAAAATTTTACAGAGACCGCCAAACCAACGCTCTTCAACGCTCGGTGCGGCGAAAAACCAACTCCTTCGACTGGTTACCTCAATTTTCGTGTTGAAGTCTCTTGAGGATTTAAAAGATGGACAAATACAACATCTTTATTTTTAGTAGATGCCATTTTTTGCCGAGCTTGAAACATCTTACATGAAACACTATTTGTCGAATAGTAAAAAATTCGCTTAGAGAAAAAAAGAAGAAGGTTGATTAAAAAGAAAATTCAGGATTTTAAATACTTTAATCTATTCGAGAAAAATCCACAAAAATCTTCTTCATACTTAAGCTTTCTTTTTAAATTATGAACATTCTTCTGTTGATCTTCAAATTCAAAAAAAAAATTTCGAAACATTCAAATTCACTTGTTATCAATGACAAACTCGATATATAATACATACCTAATAACAAAGAATTTTTCCACAAGAATGATCTGAAAAATCTAAACTACAATATTACACGGTCAAATAAAACAAAATTGTACATAAATATCAAAGTACACATATGTACATCCTCACCTATATATTCAAATTCATATTTCTCTTAAAAAAAAAAAAACCATCTTCTTCTACATTTACAAACCACGATACAAGTGCACGGAAACCCAATTTATCTCGCCAAAATTTCCCAACCCAGCCTACCGACTACTGGCCTCGTAACGTAACAATTAGGAAATCTAATTTCCCGGTCGCCACCCTCTCCCCTTTCCTCCTCCCTCCCCCTGGGATAGCCGCAACAAGCGGTGAGAGTGGTGTCAAGGTGCTCTAGAGACATCGTGCCAACTTTTCATGCCACCTACGAAACGCCGCAGGTTGGATGGGGTGCGGCTGGCTTGCAACCAACCGTCGTCGAAGGGTGGAGGAGAAGAGAGAAAGAGAGAGAGAAAGAAAGGGAGAGAAAATGAGAAAAATAAAGCGGCGGACGAGGACGAGGCGAGTGGCACTCGAGGCACGCAACGCCACGCAAATCCACGCCACCCACAACCCAGTTTCTCGCTAATGATCCCAGTGGCCGATTGTTTTATCGGCGAGAATCGTTGCTTGGAAAAAGTTTCTACCGTGCTTCGATTATCTGTCGTTGAATTTTTCTCCCGAGTATTTTGTTTCGTGATTATTTATTTATTTATTTTTAGTTACGTTTGCGATCAAGGAGGTTTAAGATGATTCTAGATGACGTGAGTATGCGTATTTTTTATAAATCTGAATTTTAATTGAATTTGGGGTATAAGGTGTGGAATAATCGAGAGAGAGAGAGAGAAAGACAGTTGTTATCGTGTAATTTTTGTAAATTTGATTGATATATTTTGGTTATACTTTTTCTCTCTCTCCCCCCTCGTGATTCAAAAATAGTGATTCAAAAGTAAATAGGAGAGCTAACATTTTTGAACGGTTAATGTGCAGAAGATCGTGAAATAAAGGGTTGAGCGGAGATAGTTGGCTTTCTACGATGTTGCTATGGTCCGTTGTTATTGTATTTCAACTCTTTGTTGAATTTCGGGGCTAATCCTCCATAACGCTGTGGGATTCTCAAAGTTACGTACTCGTGTATCTGTAATAGGTTTTGCAAATCCTATCTTGCAAAACCTTTACCCTTCGTAAGAGCGAAAGACCCTGACATAGATTGTTCTACGCGTTACTCATATTGTAATTTAGTTAATTTTTTTCTATTATACATAAAATAAACCATCTTTAATCTTCATAGAGATATTATAAATTAGTTTGTCGCTATAATTTTCTTCTTTTTTTTTTATTTATTTTCTTCTATATTTCTTTATTTCGTATAATATTGTTTTATCATCCACACAAAATTTTCCATTGTATATTTTATCGTATCAGCTGTTTTAATTCGGGGAAATGTTTTATCTCCAATATTTATTTTTCTTCTCCAACGAAAAATTTACCCTCGGAAAACGATAAATACCACGGCGCGAAGCATTTTCCGCGAACAATTTTTCCGCATCGAACGATTCGATAAAGGACGAATCGATCGAATTCGTCACCGAAATTTTTTTTATTATTATAACGAATCGCCACGAAATAGGTTGACGTCCGATTAATAGCGTGTCGATTCTCGAAACGGTTTTGAATAATAAAAAATAAAAAACTACGCGCGACGAAACTAAGCGCGCGATGAATAAAGACAACGATGATAAAAAAAAAAAAAAGGTGCGAAAAACGAGCGAAAAAATAAATAAAATAGGGTATAAAAGTTCGTTCAAAATCGGTAAACGAATTACATGCGAATCGTTTGTCACGGCTTAATTAAAATACACGCTACGGATTTAATATCTGTGTGATGATATTGCGTGGGTCCACGTCCCGATGGGAATTAAAATTCCGTTAAGCGTGCAGGAAATAATTGAAAAAAAAAAAAGGAAAAAAGAAAAAAAGAGGAAAATGCAAATAAGGAAAGTAACGGAAAAGTTCAATGGAGAAAATATTACAAGTGTAGTTTTTCTAAAAACGAGATTAACAAAAAAGACAGAGAGACAAGATTCTTTTTTTATTACGAATTTTGAAATTTTACAAGATCCAACAGATATTATAATTTCATCGATAGTATTCGTTAAATGTTATAATATTTAATTATCCTTATATAAAATATCGTGCAAAGAATCGTAGAGAAATTTTATTAAAAGACAATTATTCCTTTTTGCATCATCCAAAAGTTTTTTTTTTATTATATTTCACTCTATAGAAATTTTTCCATTAAAATTCAACTAATTTTAAATAAAAAACTTTTTAAAATTTTTTAAATACGCGTATCACTTTTCCTTTGAACCCTTTAATTGTGTCGATCTCCTACTCGAAACGCGTTTACTATTCGTTCCGTATTAATCGATAAATCCTTTCAATCTCTTCTTTCTTTCTTTTTTTTTTCGCAATAACGATCAATCCTTCCCCTTTCTTTTATTATCTATTCCCTTTTTTTTTTTACGTATTTTTTCCGCTCGTCGGAATACACTCGAACGAGAAAAATTTCGCGAAAGAAATAGGGAGGCAGAAATCGGAAACAAAGCCAATATTAAAGCCACGAGCATTTTTAAGTCTTCGTATTACAACAGTGAATCGCTATACAACACACGAAGACGTAAAAGGTACACGTGCTTCAATATCGGACGAGTCTTCGTACTCCTCCCTCCTCGATTACCAGAATAATTTTTTCCCCATTTCCCCTTGGATTATTTCTTCCGCTTTGAGCTCAATTCTGAATGAGGATGAATTTATTTGTGAGTCGTCCGAGATCCTTGAATTTTTAATCTTCGCGTAATTGGACATATATAGATATGCATCTTTATATTCTATTCTATGATTTTTTTATGTTTTTGATTAAATATTGCAAAAAAGCGTAAATTGAATTGTGTAGAAGCGTGTAAAGGAAAGAATTTTTAATCTTCGTATTTTTCAAGTTTTTTTTATTAAGATGTCAGTCTGTAAGAGAGTGAAAGTTTCGTATATTGTTTTGCAAATAGACATTTTAAGAGAGTGAAAATTGCTTTCAATGGGATTTGTAAAAAATATAATTCTATATATTCTAGAGAGAAACTAATTCAAATAATTCTCAAATGTATTTTCACCTTTAGGAAAATCATTGATAGTGTAACGTTATCGATTTAAATTTTATTCGCAATCGTAGATCTACGTATTACTTAGATTGTTATATGTATTATTTATGTAATAGAAGATCGTCTTTCAATATTCGATATTTTGAATTAAGTTAATATTCTTATTATTTTCAAACAATCGTTTGTTATAACGTTATACCAAGGTAATTAATTTATTTCAGAATTTCATCACGAAAAGACGGAACGAAAAATCGAAGATTATACGTACATCTCGTTATTAAAGTTCGATATATCGATTCCAATAATCTCGAATAGGATAGAAGTCGGGTAAACAGAGCAAATAAATATCGTTCTCCTCCATATTTTCTCCGTTCAATATTTTTATTAGAATTGCTCGCCGAGTCAGACTTAACCTTCTCTCATTCAATATTTCCTTCACGATGGTGCAATTTAATCGTTTAGTTTGAAAACATCCCATATACCCGACATTCCTTATTTTCAGTACAAGCAATCTTCCAAATTAACGTGGAAACGCGATAAAATAATAAGTTATAAATTGTTTTAAGGAACATTGTTTTCAAATGTTTCAAAATAATGAAAAAAGAGAGTCCATTAAATTTTTTGGAATAGTAATAATATTCTTTACCGTTTTATATTTGTCACATTGTCTTATCTTACCTATTAAAAAACAAAAAATGACATGAAATTCTGTATATCCTTTATAATGCTACTTTTTTTCGGTGTCACAAGTATCTTTTCACGATAATTCTTTATACGACCCATTTTAGTAATAATATCCATCACGCTTGAAAAATTAGATCATCGGGATGAAAATTAATATTTAATTTTTTCTTACTTAAAACTTTACTTAAAAAATTTTCCTCGCTTAAAAAATTTCCTTTACTTAAAAAAAGAAATTAATTTCATTGAATTTCCCGTTTAATTACCAACCTCGTCATGCTCGGAATAACTTCGGGAAGAAAGAGAATCGTATCGTTGTGCGCACTCCTTGAACGACGTCCAGATGTCTCGATGGATGGATTGTTCCGGATGCCTTCTCGTCGCTAAAATGGCAACACGATTTCCGGTTCAATCGAAATCAATTCGTCCATCTTGGCACACGATCGCTGTCGCCCCATCAATTTCAAAATCATGTTTGCTCGGCGCACGTTTAAACGAAACACGACACGATGTTTCACACTTCCGCCGGAAACTTGGTACACTGGTGAGAATCCGGGATCGAGATGTTACGAGTGCATCGTGGAAAACACGGTTTCTACAGATGAACAAATATTTGCTTTTTTTTCTCTTTTTTTTTTTTTTTTTTTTTTTTTTTTTTACGAAACGATATAAAAGTGAAATTGAATATGTGTTTACGGAAGAAAGTAATCCTTTCAGAAAGGATTAATTTAATTTTTATAATAAATTCGATCGATAATGTTACGAGAATTCTCAATATCGCGATATTACATGTTTCAAGTTCTTCGAAATGTCATACGTATGTACAATCACAATTCATTCTTTCCCCAATTTATTTAAAATATTCATTCATCGATCGAAACAAATAAATTCTGAAATTAAAAGTATCACGCACATCGTCGAATCTTTGAATTCATATACACGACAAAAAAGAAATTCTTTTCCACTCAATCTTCGTCCAAAATAAAAGAACCCCCCTGCAAACGAGAACGAGGAACCTCCCCCTTATTCCCTAGAGTTTGCAACCAAATCGAGGCGAACGATATCAAGCTAACAAACCGAAACAGCCCCGAATTCCAACCTCGTGTCACCACGGGTCCAAGTGAAAAGCCTCGTTTCCCAATTCCTTTCTTTCTCCCCCTTTTCCCATTGCCTCGTTTCCATCTCATGCACAACTCGGTAGTGTTCGAATTCCCGGAAGACGGCGCATTTCTCAAAGAGGGAAGATATTACACGCTCGAAGCTGTTTCTCTCTCCTACAGAGGGGGGGAAAAGAAAAAAACAAGAACGAAGAGAAAAAGGAAGAGAAGAAGGAGGGGAGAAAATTGGAGGGGAAAAAGGGAGATGGATAAATTCGAGGGAAGAGAGAGGGTGGTTTTACGCTGCCCTTGACCCCTATTCTTCACGTAGAATTCCCTGATATCCATCCCCTGCTCACGACTGCTATTAGCTCTCGATTAATTCCACCAAGATTCGCCTTCCATCCCTCCTCGTTCCTTTTTCGTTTCCGCGAAATTCATCCCTCCCCCCGTGAGACGTGTCAACGGCCTCGATCTCGCTCGAAGAGATCTCTTTTTGAAACAGGTTGAACGAACAGGCCAGCCTTGACCCGCGACAACTTTTATCCCCGCGATTCAATTTCTCTTCAAACGGATACGCGATAAGGGAGGAGGGAGGGAGGGGGTGGCGAGCGTTGTACAACGCGTTTCGACGAGAAGAGAAATCCTTGGGGAAGGTGAGCCAACTTTCGTCGGTTTATCCACCTAAGCAGATACCGTTTGAGCGCAGGTGGTTGTTGGAGCAAGTGTTGTGATATTATGCGAGGAGAAGGGAAAAACGTAGTTTTTTTCCTTTTTTCTTTTTTTTTTTTTTTTTTTTTTTTTTTTTTTTGAGTGGATGCTTTGAAAGAATTTTTTTTAACGGCCGTTTGTTTTGGAAAGAGAAGGATGGGATGAGAGAGAGAGAGAGAGAGAGAAAGGGGGAGGATGATAGGTGAGCGATAGGTATAAAGGATATTAAAGAGGAAACGTCGAACCGTTTTGAAACGTTGGTTCAAAACAATTGTTCGTTGCGACGAAAAAAGCGTGAAGGATAAAAGGATCGTGGATGATTACAACCAAAAAAAAGAAAAACGAATTTTTCTAATAGAAGCTTTATAAAAATTCTTTTAGTGGATTCTTTTTGTTGTTTGAAAAGAGGAGAAAAAAGTGAGAGAAAATGGATAGGTGGAGTGATAGGTGAAAAGAATATTAAAGAGGAAACGTCGAAGTTGTATAGAGACAATAGAGGGAGAAGGATTGATGGATGGGTAGTAAGTAGTAAATAAGTTTTATATATAATGGAAGCCTGAGGTAACGAGTTAAGTGATTGTAATCCTACTGTAGCCTACTGTCGCGCATCGTGAAAATATATTAAAGGGTATATTAAAGGGTAAACTCCGAAGTACATCGTGTCACGTAACGCTATTACGCTAGAAGAAGCTATTGAAGCACTTGTAATACAAGAAGTATTAAACAACGAATACCACTACGCGATATCAGGAATAATCTCGAATTATTGATTCACGATTGATTTAATGCCGTTCATTACAGAATTTTGTGCAACGAATGTCCAATTACATTATTTTACGCAACGTCGAGAAGAATTCCAAAGTTCATTGAGAATACCGTAAATTTTTAACGAGAGAATCGATAAGATTCGGAAAACAAAAAAAAAAAAAACGAGCCGTATCGCGTCGAAAGATAAACCAAGATAAATCTAAAGAAACGGTAACAGTAATTTTTAAACACGTTGCATTCTTTCACGAGATGCCAGAAAAATTAATCAATAAAAGTATCTGATTGTCGTCGCGAAAAAAAATTCAAAAAAATCCAGCTAAACGATCCAGCTATTGGAAATCCTCCTCCGTCCAAAATTCCAAAAAAGAAAATCCAAACCAAAAATCACAAAGCAAAAAGAAACCATCGCGAATTACGTTATCCCCTAACGCAACGGTCATTCCCTTCGTACCAATATTGCAATATCACCGAAACGCGAAAGGATCTCAAACCATCCTCAACCAACCTCTCCGCTTAACACCGCACAACACAATTATCCTACGAAAAGTAATCCGAGCTTGCAACCAACACAGGTGGTTGCGTGCACCGAAATGTTGTCACCCAACCACCGACTCTCCACGAGTTTCTCTCCTCCCCATTCGAACGATCGAATGGGATATGATCGAAAAAAGGATTGGATGCACGAACCGGATGCACGCGTGGATCGATCACATGTCGGGTGTCGGATGCCGCGGGCCGCGAACCGGATCGACTCGATCTCTCGACGATCTCATGGCGGAGAGGTGGGCTCTTCCTGCGGAGAGGAGCTCGATCGACTGGCCGGGGCGAAAGCCGTCGCGCGACTGAAACCGTTTCATCAACCGCCACCATCCTTCCACCCCTTCGTCTGCTCCCGCTCTTTCACCCTCTCCTCATCGTGCACGCGCGATTCCCTACTTGTTTCGACCCCCCCTTCCCTCCCTCCCTCCCTCCCTCGAACGCATTCGACGCTGCGTGGAATTACGCTGCGGGGTGGTTGGATTCTCTTAGAGGAGGAGAGGTGTTCCTCGTGAGTTTTGAAACACATGGGGGAGAGGGAGGAAGGGAGGGAGGGACGAAGAGAAGGAATTATCAAGGAATTTGGATTAAGAGTTTTTGGTTGATTTTTTTTTGGAACGATAAGAGTGAAGATGGATGGTTATGGTATGGAGAGTTAGTGTCTTTTTTAGGGTAGTTCTTTTGAGGGGATAGATTTTAAGCTTGATCGATCGTGGGACACGAATTTGTGCGAATTTGATGTGAGTGGATGGATAATAATTCTCGATGTTACGGATTGAGAAAGGTTTGGAAAAGTTGCTTTTTTTTATATCTTATGTATCGATTCGAAGAAAGATTGGTGAATTAATTTTCGAAATTGTAAATTGAAAAGGAAATTTTTGGAATGGAATGGAATGTATTGGAATTTTTATCGAAATTTTTAAAAAATTTTCATTGATTTTTTTTTTTTTCCAAAGTCCTTCCTATAACTTTTATTTCTGATATCATATTCCTGAAACCCGTTCACGCGTAATATTCGCTGCGTTAAAATCGTGTTAAAAAATATCGTTACAATAAATTATCCTCTCCATTTTTATGCATCGACAATTTCATCCTCAAAGACCACTCACGAATTTCACGGTGTATTAAAAATCCACGTTAATCTCGAATACCTTCTATCACGGTAAATTAGTCTCTTGCATCCAATTTAATCTAAGCTCAATCCAATTTAACTCGAGTATTTAATTGCCAGTTACGAACTTTTCCACGGGATTATTTCGTTCTCGCACGATTTTTCGCAAGTGCTTTTCATTCTTACTAGCTTCATTTCTTAATTAGGGAAGTGATCGATTGCCGCGCGTAGTTTTATCGGTTCTAAGTAAGTTTTGTTACAGAAAGTGGCGTAATTAGGAATGCCTGGGGGGATATACAACGGGTGTTCGATACGTACTTGTGAATTTCGAATGTTTCCAAACGCTTGTTTACGGTTCCCATTGGAAACTGAGTGGCGCTCGAGCAAGAGAGAATTTCGTTTGTCGTTTTCAAGGCTGACGTTCGAAAGTTCTCAACTTCTACACGATGAATATAATTCCTCTGTGACGAAACTGGGACGCGTTGCGTGTCATTTTTCAAAATTGTTAAATGTTCATCGTATTCAACATTCGTCGTTTGAAGTTTTATTATAAATTATAATAAATTAATGACGCGTAAACCTCGAGATGATAATTATCTGGATATATTTTATGTGAAAAATAATATTTTTCTGGTAACTTCTTTATAGTTAATATAAATTAACAATTAATAACTAATTGATAATTTCAAATTTAAATCGATAAAAATTCTATAAACGATTAATTACACAAAAATTCTTTGCATCGAAACACAATACAAATTCTAATCTTCTTTGATCTTTTCACAACTCGGAATAGAAGTATCGATTCGACTAAACACTTTGTCGATTAATTTCTCGTCGTGAGCTATCGTTTGGCGCGAAATTTCAAAATTTTCAAAATTGTGAAAAGAAAAAAAAATTCTCCGTTATCGTTATTTGTTTTTTTTTTTTTTTTGTTATCCCGAGCACAGATAGGACGGATTGATGGGAAAGAAAGCAATCTTGCCGCGCGACAGGCCATCGCCATCTTGATCGTGGGCGGAAGAATAGCGGCGTCGAACAATACCGCCATTTTCCGCGTGGCGATGCATTGTTCGATCGTCGATGCGTCCCATTCGGAAACATTGTTCCCGAAACGAGCCAGCCTGCGATTAATCGCCGCGCAAATATCATTAAGCTTTAAGCATCCCAGGGCGAACAATCGTTCGAGCCGGCCTCGATTTCGTGACTCGAGGAATCGCCAATTAAATCCACCTGGATATTGCGAGGATCGAGAACGATTAATTGCATCCTCGAAGAAAACGATATCGATATCGTGACATTCTTTCTCCTTTCGTAAGTGAACTGATACCCCAGATTATATATTTTTAACGATTAAACGAGGGAAACTTTTAGATTGAGGATATTTTTTTTTTTTTAATCTTGCTTTTTCTTTGTAATTTTTATTTTAAATAATTCAAAAACGAGATTATACGAGATTATATCTTTCTGCAAATATTTCATATGAAGAAATACGATGAAACGTGTGGTGGAAAACGTAAAGTCAAATAATTCGTGTTTGATTACTTTATTGTAAAAGGTAATAATTGAAATTAAAACAATATGCATAAAGCTAAAAGTGACATAATAATTTAATTAAATTTTATCGTATTACGTTTTCCTTAAAAATATATATATATATGTATCTCTATCATTAATTGATAAAAAGGAATTTTTCCTAATAAAAATGTGGTCTTAAAGAGAATGAACAAAATAAGAATCGAAGGAAAAACAATGTAAGTTTTACAATGATTGAATTGGATGAAGGGATGCTCGCTTGGTCCCTGGAAGCTAGTCTCCCGATGATACGGGAAGAGGACCGGGGGAAAAACCGTTCGTGTATCTTGGAAAGTCACAATTTCGCCCAAGTACCAGTTCGTTCCACGAACGATAGTCGTTCGATGAATGCCCTTGCCAACAGGGAACAAAGAAAACTTTTGCACAAAGTACACGGCGTATCATCCGCTCGAAAAATCCGTGGCCATTGTGCGTCGCTGTTTCTTCCAGCTCCTATTATGGGATAGTATCCCATCGATCCTTGCACCGATTTTCAAGGAAATCCTGCTTTTAACGTCACGCGTGCCTGTTCACCCAGAATTTTCCTTTCAACGTCGTTTTCTATTCGAGCCCATCTCGGTCGATTAAATACCACGATCCGAAAGAAAAGGAAATTTATCGAATTTTAGATCGAGAATTGCCGAGTTGAGGAATTTTGCAGTTTGTAGAATTAAATTATTTAATCGGATCGTGTCGGTCTTACATTAAATTGGTAATTGAAATTGTTCAAATTTTCTTATTAATAATTTTTATTTAATAAATTCTGATATCGTGATTCGATGCTTTCTTCTTTTTTTTCATTTTAAATAAATATCACATCGAGCAACGTTTGATTGTTTTATCTTCACGTTCAAAATGATTTAGACTTGGAATTGTTGAGATCGAAGTGATTAAGACTTGGAATTGTTGAGATTGAAGTTCGAAAATTTAGAAATTATAATTGTATGATTCTTTTATTTTACTTTTTCATATGAGAACTTAGTCTATGAGTTTCATCTGCAAAATTTCGTTCCAAGTTCTCAAGATTTCAGTTTAACTTTAATTACTCTTCTAAGTCGATGGGTAATATGTCGATTGCTGTTTAGAAAATGGGATGTAAAGTGATAAAATAAACCATTTACACTTTAATTCGAAATTCTTCGTGCGAAACATTTTTAATTTCCGAAAACTTTCTAATCTGGAAATTTCTTGATCTTCGAAAAAATCCTTAATCGTGAAAAACAATGACAATTAATAAATATAGTAATCCATAAATTTTTTAATTCTAAAAGTAACTTATCGTTTTTATTAATTTTCATTCAATCATTTTTGTCGCACCTTTTAAAAACTTTGTCTTCTTTCCAACGATGGGGATGATTGAAAAGGCACGTAGCCAAAAATTAAATAGAAACAGCGGTCTGTTTCTTTATCTGTTCTGTTTTTTTTTTTTTTTTTTTTATTAATTGAAAAGGGATACAAAATTCCGCCAAGTTTCGATCGGTATTCCAGAACTGGGATAAAGTTGAAGATCGATATATCTAGAAAAACTTTCAAAACTTACTTTTCATTGTTATCATTTCATTTATTAATTAAATAATATATTTTTTCAATATTCTATTCTATTAGTGATAATAGAATCGTTTAACCAGATTAACCAGATTAAGTATCATAAATTGTATAAGGGAACAATTATAAAATTATATTTTTATCAATTACACTTAAAATTTTTCTTTTACAATATAAAAATAATTAAGATAAATATTAAATTTGAGTAAAAAAAATTAAAATTATAAAATATTTAAATGAACTCATAGATTTGGAATAATCTCTGTTTAACTTCTTACCGTAAAGTTAATTAATTACTTTAAGACGTTGGATCTATGATACAGCATAATTCTAAAATCGAGTTTAATAGGCTTTTTAGCCTATCATCTTCCATTAACCACATGTTGATAATTACATTATCCTCGGGCGGGTCTCCGTCGATTAAGTTACACAAGATACACAAGATCCTTCGATTACTTCAATTATGTTACACCAGTTCGGCATCCCTCGAATCATTCTAATTATTAAACAGATTAGAATCACCGATCTTAACAAATTTTATTAATTTTAAACTTAATTATTCATGGAGAGAGAAGTATCTTGTTGGCCGTTATTAAATTCGTTAATTTCAATTACTCGTAGAGTATCGTCTCAAGAAAACGCCATACCATTTCTTATTCGAATTTAGAATTCAATGATCACTTAATGGTAAATTAAAGAATTTCCTGTTCAGTTCTATTTTCTGTCACAAAATCTAATTCCATCGCGTATTACGAGTAAAAAAATAATTTAAAAATCAATTTTACGATGTTGAAAAAAATATTGAAAAAAAAAAAAAGAGTTGAACGAAAGAAAAGAATACAAATAAAAATTCAAAATTGTAATAATTTTAAAACGATTTAAAACAATTGTTTCAGAATGTAATTCTGTAAATATTCTATGATGCAAAAATCTCATCGTATTAAATTTTTTTCAATGATATATCGTTATCCAAAACTTTGAAATTGATTGATCGTGTAACGGGGCACAAGGGTTTGGCAAGCAACGGAAGTGGAGGTCGGTGAAGATCGATATTCCGCGCGACAAGTTCGCAGTGCGACTTTTCAAGGTCAGGGACTCCGGAAGCCAAAAACCAGCCGCGACACATTTTTCTTCGCCAGAACGTCGTTCGCTTTATTGTTACATCACGTTGCAGGGGAAAACTTATCACGATCAATGATGGATATTCCGTATTTTGTGTGAAAAAAAATTTATCGTTGAAAATTATTAAAATGGAAAAATAATGCAATTATCTTTTTTTTCTTCTTCTTCTTTTAGAATCGAAATGAATGCTGAAAATTATTCATTTAAAAAATTAATTGAGAGGTTTTTCACAATCCATGGAAGGTATAAATATTTTGGAAAAAATATATTTTTTAAAATAAAGATTTCGCTATTTTTTTTATTAAAATAAAAAACCGATGCATGATTCTACGTTTATATCATTGAATTATTTTTTTAGATAATTTAATTCTAATTTTTAAATAAAATCATAGATGTTTGTGAGTAAATTTGATGTTACTGTTTATGATAGATTAGACGAGAAGATTAATAATTCGATGGTTAAATTCACAGGAAGTTGAGGAATTAATAGTTTGAACATTTGATACTCAGTTATGATCTGCTTGAAGTAATTAGGCAATCAAAGGAAGTTGGATATGGGAATGTAATGAATAGTGAGGGATTTACATTGAATATACAGTTTCTATGAGATATATTGAATTATATAATACTGTAATTAATTTTATTAATGTATAAATTAAGTAGTTATGAAGATTTTGTTAACAACCTGACATTGACGTTAATATTTATGCTAATAAGATTCATTTATTAAATCAATTTAAATATTACATTGTAAATATAGTCAAGAATCCATTGTGCTTCTTGAATATTTATTCACGTGCCCACTTAATTCTATGAAATACGTTCTACATTGTAAACAACGTAATTTATTCTGAATTTTAACTCTTAAATTTTCATTTTCAAGAAAAAATTTTTAGAAAATATATATATATATATTTGTTCATAATTTAATCATTTTTAATTTTGCAGCATTATTTTTTTATATTTTGATAAGTACTCTTTTATAATCATATGTATTTTAGTATCATCAAAAAATAAAACTTCACAAAGATAATAGTGATAAATTTTTAAAAAATATTTTTAAAAAGTTTTAAATTCTTTTTATATCAAAAACCAGACAATTTTATTTTTTTTTTTTTAATTTTATTAATTAATCCTTTTTTTTTGGATTCTTCTTTTTTTTAAATATTTACGATAATATGAAAACTTCGTTTCTTTTAAAAAATGTTGTCACCCTTATGAATCGTTTTCTTTTCAAAACATGGAAATTACTTCTTCACCAGCGTCACCCGTGAAGTTCCAAACTTTTCAAATTTTCGACTTGGCAAACTTTTCTCGTAAATAAAAATATCACAAAACTTTTAAATATGAAATTTTAGATCCCAAATAATATATAAAAAAATATCTTCGAAAAATAAAAGGAAATTAAAAGAAGAAAATACGAGAAGGCGCAGAATGACAAATAGCCATCAAATATTCATTTATTTCTGATAACAACTATGTACACACATATACATATACATAGGCGTATTTAACATGTACGTAAATGCAGAAAGTGGTCCGTACTCGAATATGCTTGAATAAAACTATCCACATCGCTTTCCAACATTATATATAAGTACTTTTCTCTTTCTAACACGACTTCCATTTTACATGGTCAAATCTGACGAAACTTCATCGATAAAAATTCTTCAAGGATGTCTATCATTTCTATTACACCATTTTAATTCTCGTAGCATTACAGGTAAGAATCGAAGAATTATAATTCTGATACTTGTGCTATGAGGTTAATTTTAAAATATTTCTATGCGTTAGATCTTAGCCATTTATTAGGTCTTAAATTCACCTGGACACGCACCTGAGAATTTAAATATTTTTTTTTTAATTTTTGTAGCTCATCGAAGATCGAAGATCGAAGATCGAAATTTAATTATTTTATAAAATTATTTTTAGAAACTAGAATAGAAACTAGATAGATTCAGTTAAAAGTATTGAACAATATTATTTGTGTTGTGTTGGTATTCGATCAAATTAAAAATTTTAATGGATTATTATTGATATTTTTCTATCTATCTATAAATTTTAAATTTCAATTAAGATCTAATAAATGATTAATAAGACTTAACATCGTGATTAGGCCATATTATTGGTTACATGAATTCATTCAGAGTTCTAAGGCCTCTCTTTGGCACACAATTTATTTCAAAAGGAAAGGAATTTTTTTTAATTATCATTCTAATTTTTTACATAGAAATTAAATATCTTTAATTTTTACCTTTTTCGTAAAGAATGAATAAAGATAAGTTTTCTCGAATATAATTAAGAAATATATTATATATATTTTTTATTTAACCATTTTATGATCTAATTTTTTTTTCTGTTTCTTTATATATATATAATTATATTTTTATCTTTTAATGGATTTGATAGTTCCATTATTAAAATACCAAGTATGTGAATGTATCTTATACGCAAAATCGAGCACGAAGGGATTAAAAAATAGCACCATGATCGTTTCGAATTGGTTTACGTCCGAAGATATTTGTGAATATTTTCGGATAAATCGTTCAAAATACAGTTCTCTGGATGATAGATTAAAAGACATTTGTAAAAATAATTTGTTTTCATATAGAAAGTACATTCATGGACGCTTATACACACAGTTCGTCCCATAGAATCCAAAGACTTTCATTTGTGACTCTTACTCCTATTTTTTTTCTTATTTATTTTTCTCGTTTTTCTCTTTTTTTTTCGAATTTTGTCGATATAGTACAAAAAGTGAGCATTTGCATTAAATAGAAATTTGTTTCTCAATTGTTGCGCATTTGACACAATCTTGTGATTTGACAAAATTAAATCGAAGAAATTACACAAAAGGAAGACATCAGTTCTATAAAAGAAAAAGAAACATGAATTTCTTCTGATACATTCAATATGTAAATTTTAATAAAATTTTATTTTATTAAAATTTATTTATATATACATATATTCATATTAAATATACATAAAATATATATATATAATAATTTTTGAAATAAAATTTGCTCACTTTTCAAAATATTTAATATATTCGAAATTCATTTCTATGAATGAACTCACATGCACGATACTGAGGCTGTGGGCGGAAATAGGAGTAAAAGTATCCAAAAGATTCTTTTTAAAAATTCGACAACATGATACGTAATTATTTTTCTCAAAGAATACCAATGTTTCCATCATGCGTTCAATGTTTCGACATTTGGTATCAAAAGAGAGATATATATTCTCGATGAGTGCACTTAATCGTCAAATTCGTACATTTGGTAGGGTTTCCAGTCAAATTTTTGAAGAGATCTAAAAAATATATTTCAAAATTTTAATTATAAATCAGAAAGTCGAAAAAAAAAAATAAGGATGTTGAATCATTTTCATTTACTTTTTCGCGGATTGTATGAATCCTGGAGGTCCACAGGTAAAAACACACGCGTCAGGGGAAGTTTCTGCGACTAATTCCTTTAATAAATCATCGGATATCGTGCCACGTCTACCCGTCCATGTGCTTTCGGCTTGCGAAAGGATATGTGTGACTTTTAATCTGAAACGTGTCATTATTTCGTTCAAAGACAATGAAATACGAAATTACGAGAAATAATAAATTAATATACCTACTTTTTATCTGTACTAGCCTTTTCTAACTCCGCCACGTAAAACATGCTATCTTCATTTTTATTGAAGTTAAGTAAGTTTATAGTCTTTCTGAAAAGATTCCAAAATAGAAAAAAGATTATTAAATCAAACAAAGTTGGTGAAAACTGTGATAAATTAACATTGGCGATCTATAATCGAACAAGTGGTCTATAAATCTAACAAACTACTTGCAATTTCGCAGAACGTATCACGCTATGCCAGATTTAGTACAATTTCAAGAGATATAGGTTCGACCATGCCAAAAATCTTTCATGCACAAACTTTCATCGCCACATGATTCAAACAGATGAGCTCTACTAGATGATTCAATAAAATCTACTATCATGAATGCTTTCAATAAATATTACATATTTCATATCGCGTGATGATACTTCTTCATCAAAAAATTTCTATTCGACAAATTTTTCTCATAATTCTATACTTTCGATAAATACATATTTTGACATGCAAGAAATCCATTTTTATCCGATATAACACCTTGTATAACAAACTCTATAAATATCGAATAATGATTCGAAGGAGATACTGACACGCTGCGTCTGGCCAAAGCTCGTTGAATGATGCCAAGCATCGCTGTCAAACCGGTGCCACCCGCGAGCATATGAATGACAGAATAACGATCGAAGGATTCTATTACAAAGGCACCTAAAGCATTGCTCAAGAGGAAGGTTTGGCCAATCTGAAGAGCGGTTATGGACGGACTGAGAGCACCTTGGGGATATCTTTTGATCATTAAACACAAACAATCGGATTTGTAATTCGGCGCTATGTCGTCAGGGTGAAGGCACGGTGGGACAGGCGTGTACGATCGTGATACTTCCATCCCTGAAATAAAAATATTTGGTAATTTTATCCATGGAATGAAAAGTTTAATATAAAAAATTTAATATGATAGAAACAAAGTGAAAATATTGAAATTTATTTTGATTTCAAGTTAATTATAACTTTCTTAATTGATATTCAAAGAATAAATAAATTTTCAATCAAGTTCTTATAAAATTAAAAGTACGTCTTATGGTAATATACAAACTATTAGAATATGCAAATTTTAAATTTAATATTATTCTTAAGTAAACACTTATTTAATATGCATTATTTTTCTGAAGTTTATTAATCAACGAATCAATGAATTATGAATCACAACTAAGAAATTTTTTGATGACAGAGAAAAGCTAATGGAAGGAACAAATATGTACCCATGACGTTCATTTTGGCTTCTACGTGTCTGCCAATGGGCACCATTTGCAAAAAGTTTTTCGCTCGAACGACTAATAGGTGAACTAATTTGGAAAGGGGTTTATTCGTAACAACTTCGTATTCTTTGTAAATTCGATTATTCGTATTTGTCTCCCTGGATATCGTTTGACTACCTTGAGATTTCCATATCTCTTTCTTCTGTTTCGTAAATGTAAAATCGACCTACAAAGGAAAGAAGTAAAATTGAATTATTTATTTTAAATCTTAAGTTCTTATTTAACAAAATGGAATTGAAAAATACATCACCTCCATCGTGTCGAAATTTCTGGTGCATAACGGCGGCCATTTTATTTCCGCTGTCAGTTCCAGCTGATGCGTTATTATGTCCTTCTCGAAAAATAATTTGAATATCAACTTCGAGTCGCTTATCCTACTTAATTGATAGCTAACACCAGGATAATCTCGAACAGTTTGGTAAAATAACGTGATCGTGTTGGATGTCTGCCTCCAATCCATTTTTATATTCGAAAAATCACCGTCTGACACGTTTTCTTGACTGGTACTATGAGCTAAAAATTTATATCTTTTAGTTTTCAAAATATCTTTGAATTCTTTTTTTTTTTAATAATATCAGTATTAATATTTTATTATTTTTTCTACACATAAATTCCAATAAGACAAAAATCTAAATTACTAAATTTAAATAGAAACAGAAAATCTTTTCTCTTTTTCTACTCTTTTCAAATTTCAACTTTCTTGATCTTTTAATTCTTCAGTACAATCTTTAAAAAAAAGAAATCTCTGAATTTTTAAATCTATTCAGTAAATCACAACATTGCATCTGAAAATTCATATCTCTCAACATTTAAATCTCAACATATCATAAAATCATTTTAAAGATTTACGAATATCTATTTTTTTTTTCCTCCATTAATTTTATACATAACCAATCACAAACATTGCATTCGATATTAAACTTATATTTTTCAATATTTCCAAATGACATTCAATCACTTAAAAGCCGAATATTCATTTTTTCCTTCCATTAATTACTTATAAATATTACATTCGATAACTCGTATCTGTCAACATTCACATTCATTCAACATAAAAATGGCATAAAACATAAAAATAGAATGTTAAATAGTATTATCTCTGAATAACAATCAAGCAATCAATGATAGTGCAACTCGTGATTTCTACATAAACTTTGTAACTCCAAATCGTAAATCGTGAAACTAATATTCATTTTCATTGAACATTTCAGATTCTTTTTCGAATTTGCAACATTCATCACAACCAATCTAACTATCATTATTTCTTCAATCAACATCATCAACATACATGCATTCATTTATATATCCTAACGAATTCAATAAAGTTCACGAATCTTTATCGACCTTTTTTTGCTACATCTATTTCCTATATATAAAATCATTTTAAAAGCCGACAAGTATTCCTTTTTTCTTTCTCTCTCTCTTTCCTCGTATTGATGATACAATACACCATAAAAAGAATGTTCCTCTCTCTCTTTCTCCGGACATTCTCGTTTATCGCAACGAATGACACAATGAGTAGGTGGTCCTCTTTCTCTACTCACTCGTGCAACTTGTCGTTATCAGGTTCTGCGCCGTCGATGAACAATTGGTGGTGGCCGAGACAGGGTTTTCCATCGAAGATGAGGAGGAACCGGTCATCGAGCCACGGCTCAGCCTTCCCACCACGCATTTCTGAAGGATGCTCTGATAGTTGACCCAAGCGTGCACCTGCAACGGACGATCTATGGGTACGTAAAAATAATGGTCGATCGAACGAGAGATCGTCTCGTTGATCGTTGATGGATTGGATATTGATTGGACTCACGCTTTCGAACAGTTTGGTCGCATCTTTGCCGACCCCTCTCATCAATTCACTTATACCTCCTGGATGGAAATCCATGTAACGTGTCACGTTGAACACGATTCCTGAAAGTTGAAACGTAATTATTAATTATTATGTTATGTCATTCTTAAGTATTTTTGAAAGTATTTTTACAATATTTTATAAATTGTAGCATTTTCTAATAGTTTGAGAAAAAATTGATAAATTTCAAATTTTAGAACATAGGAAAACAAATTATTGTGTTCAAAATGTGAAAAAAGTGTTTTTTTCAACAGAGAAATGATCATTATTATCTTAAAGAGATTGATTGATTTCGAAATTCGAATAAATTGAATTTAACACTATTGCTTGTTATAAATTTATAAAAAAATTTTTTTTATCAATAAAAAACGAAAAGATCAACTTGATTTTTTTTTTAATGGCATAATAACTGATTTTAACGTATGATCTTGAGACTTGTTCGAATTCATTATTTAAATATTTCCTTTCTTCATTATCAATTTATTATACAACATATAATTCGTATTTAATTTATTTCTTATCTTTCCTTTTTTCACATGTTATTACTCTTTTTAATATTCAAGGTAATGATTGAAGTATTTCCTCATATTTTTCTGAGTCATCGTTGATTTCGTATGTCGGGTCACGCGCGATCGCAAAATTACGTCGGCGAATTTCATACGTAGGAATTAAAATAGGCAGGCGGCGCAGGGATCGTGATAGGAATAAAAATAAATATTGAACGATTCAACGTTGGGAACAATGGACGGGGGAAAGTAAATTTTAATCAAACTAAAAGCGGACGTTCAACGATTGCTCTATATTGTTCCCTTCTCTCTCCTGGTTGCCATTCGTTTTTTTCTCCCCGAACAACACGCTTTTACGCCATCTAATCAATTCCATCGATTATCATCGTCTAATACATAAAAGTGATATTAATAATGGAAAGAATTTTCTTAATAAAGGAACGAGTTTGAATTTCTATTTCCTAATTTAAATTATTTTACTCAACCATAGTTTAGAGTTCCCCTATAATTTTCTCGTATAATATTACCACTCTAGTTTCTATTCTAGTCTCTATTCTCGTTTAATATTTGAGATATTTCCTCGTACTTTCTGTTAACGACCATTTTTCTGAGTCATCGTTCACTTAGTGAAAAATTACTAGACGAAAAGATAATTGATAGATAATGAAACTAGTTTATCGAAAACATTCTGAAAAAAAAAAAAAATCAAAAACGACGAAGGAAAATGATTAAAAAATTTATTTAGAGATACAAAAAAAAAAAATAAAATAAAAAAAAATAAAACGAAATGTTAGAAGTGAATGTTGCATGAGAAATCAACATCTAGCTTAATTCCATGTTGGCCCAGATTCTCGCATTTTATTTAATTTTCATTAAGTACATAATTTTCCAATTTATAAAGACTTCGCTTGTCCTTGCCCATCTATTTCGTTAAGCTAAACTTAAAACTCAGTTTCCATAATACATAAACCAAAGGAAGTCGCGTTAAAACCGATATCCCATTAACCAAATGAATTTAAATCACTCTCCGTATCCATCGATTTTTCTTTTCTTCGATTTAATCCCAATGAATCTGATTGTATAATTCGATGCGATCGCTTTCCCTTCGTGGAAATGAGATTAATGATTGGTGGAAACTGAGTTTCGTTGTTCGAGGAAATTGTTATTGGAAACGGGTCCGAGCGAAAGTTAAGTTTCGAAGCTAGACAGGAATTTAAGTGTTCCATGTATTTTATAATCGAGGAAAATGATTTATAGATCTTCGAGACCGTAAATTTAACTACATTGGAGTTTAGAAGGAATAAGAAAAATAAATATTTGAATATTAATAATGGCAATAAAGTATAAATTATGCAAAAATAACGAATTAAAAAATGATAGATATATTTGGATATCTTTTTGCTATTTTCAAGATCTCTGTATCGTATTAACATATATTACAACTTTCATCATTATAATAAATTTTTAAACAGGCTAACAGGCAAGTTTTTAAACAGATTTTAAAAACTTCTCTTGAATACGTGAAAAATTTAAATATTCAAGAAAAATTAAAATTTAAATTCGAAAAAATAAGAAAATGTTTAAATATCTAAGAAATGACAATATTTTATACGTATATATATATATAACTTAACGAAATGAAAAAGATATATGTAAATCTGAAAAAAAGTGGGAGGAAATTCGAAAGAGGAATAAAACTCAGTGGTTCAAAATAAAAAAATGGCGCTTGCAGCTTATTGAAAAAATTTCGTTCTTAAGTATGCAAGAGCAATTTTCAAAGGTCTCTGTATCGTATTAACATATATTACAACTTTCATCATTATAATAAATTTTTAAACAGGCTTTAAAAACTTGTCTCTATCTCTCGGCACAGGGAAAGAATTCTAGAATCGAATGTACTTTTATTTTAAATAGAGCCGTTACCTCGAATCGCGATCCAAGCATCGTTTTGCTTATTATGACTGGCCAACTCGGATAATGTTACGATCCGTGGAACACCACCAACGCCGGTTAGATCAACTCCAGAATTGCCCAATCGGATCCAGTCCATCAAACTGTGGCCGGGTGCTAGCGCGGTTTTATTTCGGGGATTGCCTGCAAAACATAAAAGATCAGCTCGTTTTCCTTTGTTTCCTTTTTAATTTTAATTTATCGATACGATCGTGAAAATAGAAGAAGAGGGACGTATTTTTAGAAATTATATTTTCGTTGACACGAATCGTGTCGAGCGTTTTTCGACTGCTGGGAATCCATGGCCGCTATTATTATTATTCAATATTATTATTATTCAAATTTGTGTATATTTTTTTTTATATTTTTATCATGAAATTTATTTTATATATAATTCGAAATTGAACAATGAAAATATATATGATTATGATTTAATATTGAGCAAAACAAATGTAATAAATTGATGATTGTCATTGATTTTTATGGAAATAGAAGGATTATCGAATATTTTAAAAAAAATTTAACATTAAAATGTTCGTATTATTGAAAAATATTTTTCATAATACAATTCGTGACTGGTTTGTTTTCTGACTGTCCACGTGTTTTTTATCTTAATATTCAGATCGAAATTGAATTAGCATATTTAACACATTAACAATTCTTGACGCAGTTCTACAGTTTTCAGTTTTCAGTTATAAGAAATATTAATTATTAACGCGTTTCAAAAATTCTTATTCTAATTCAATTTATTTACAATAGAATGTATATATTTGCAATCGGATATTGAAATTCGGTATTATATTTTAATTCCCCGATTATCTTCCATTCTATATTTATTCTTAAAAAAATTTTACAGCGGATAATCAATTCAACTTACACAATCTTCAAACTTAGCGGAAATATGATCGACGACTCTCTGCTAACTTTCTAAAAGCTTTCACTTCAAGAGGAAAACGGTCATATTATCAGAATTGTAAATAATATTTCTACCTGAACATCTATTTGAACATTTTCTTTCGTTTTTCGTTCATCACAGAAATTCCAGAATTTAAATAGAACACGATTTCATATATTTAATTTCGTAATTATCTATTTTCGTTGCAATAACGAAATAATAACTCGAATAATAAATTAGTAGAAAATCTACGCTTTTGACGCAATTAAAAAAAATTTATTAATTGAAATATTTTTCTGTCCGTTAAATTGTTTTGCTGTATTTATTCCATGTGACGTAAATTCAATGTATACAAATGAAATAAAAACTCGTCTATAGAGATCGATAAAAAGAGAAGAAGAATGAATATGCAATTCAACATGAAGCGCATACAATGTTAATTCACATATAACAATTTTAGTATACGTTCTATCTAGAAACAGAATGTATATCTTATATAATGGTCAATTAAAAGTTATCATTATAGATGAACAAATTAATAAACTAAATAAATTTTTTGGAGATACATATTTCATTTGATTTAATGTTAAACAAATATACAAGATTAATTTATAACTAATTTTTATAATTAATCATGTTACAATTGAATCATCATGACTATATATCAACTATATTCAAAAAATAAACCCAAAGAAATTATTATAAATTTATATAATGACATTTAATTATTAAGATAATTCTATATTATGAATGAAATTTATCATGAAACGTAGCAAGATTAAATTTGTACAGAACGTCGAATGGAAAATGTATTATATCCTAAATTTAAAATATCCATCAAATAATTCAACGAAGAACAGATATTAGATTTATTGTTTATTCGTCGACAATATTTAAATTCGTCGTCTAAATACCCGTGGAGAAATCCTCTGGTTCGAAGGTCAATGAGAATGGAAAACACAATGGACATGTTCGCAGAAACGAGACTCGCGTAAAAGTAATAGTCAATTATCGTTAATTACTGACCGTCCTGAATCTGCAAACCGAGACTCTGCGGAGACCCGTCGCCGTCCATGACGGAAACCAAAGATGCGCCGCAGCATCGTGGCATTTTCTCATCGAAACGTCACAGTCCGCAAATCTTTAACCATCCTCCTGCATAGAAATTGCATTGAGTTGAGAAACAACCAACCCTGAGCAAACAAAGATCTTTCGTGCGAAATGGGAAAGAAAAAAGATTGTTGTCGTGGATTTGTATTTCATCAATTCTACGTATGTATTTCGTATACGTTTGATCAATATTCTAAAAATTAAAATTATTTAAAATTATTATTTTAAAATAAGTAAATAGAACATTTTGCATTTGTATCATAAAAGAAAGGGAGAGAGTTATTGAATAAATATTATAATTTTTTAAATTATAGATATTAATCCATGATCTGGAAGACTTTAAATTATTATCATTAAATTAATAATTAATTTTTTTTTCTAGGTATATAAAAGGAATCATAAATAAGGGTTTAGTCGTCCATCGGTTAAGATTAAAAAAAAAAAAAAAGATTTAAAAAAATAAAAAAGAAAATAGTAAAAATGGTAAATTAATATTTAGAATATTGAATATTTAGAATATTCTTTTAATTTTTCTTTTTTTTTAATTCTTTACATTCGGTATGCATCTCAAATATAAATATCATAAGGAAAGATTTTTTTAGTAATTTTTAAGAATAATAGTTGTCAATTTTTATATAGTAGTAAATTTTTTTTTTTAATATTTATAATGAAAAAATATGCTATTTTTTGCAAGTTTATTTAAATTTAAGATAATATATTCAGAATGCAAATGTAATTATATGTAAATACATTAAACGTGTATCAATAAAAATGTACAAGAAAATGCATTGTGCAAAAAGTGTGATATCAAATGCATTTCCTGGAAAAAAAAAATTATCACAAAAAAAATAATCCAAAATATTAATTATTAAATCTATTTTTCTTTATTAATTTACAAATTAATATGTATAATTTTATACTGTTATATACACTATAGAAATAAGTAAAAATTGTGATAAAATTGTTATATAATTTTCATATTTAGTGCTTAATGTGCATGATATAAATTTATAAATTAAATTTAAAAAGATAAAAGTACAATAATTTTTAATGTTTTTATATCTTAGATTTTCTTTTTTTTATATTTTATTTAAAAAAATTGCAATGCATTAACAAGTAATATAAAGAACCTACTATATAATTGATAGTATAATAATATAATGTGATAATAAAATAGTAATATCAGATTCTATAATAAATATGTTTTTTTTTTCATTCCATTGTATAATAATTTTTAATCCATTTCATTAAAAATTAATAATATAGATATTATTATAGATAGTAATAATTTATTTCATAGTAATAATTATTAATTTTAAATAAAAATAAAAATTATATTAAAATTATATTTCTAAATTTCTATATTTCAAATAAAATTATTATTCACAAATAAAAAGAAATAGATTTAAAACTTTTTAAAATTTTCTCTCTAAAAAAAGTAATTATGCAAAAAAAATTTAAAATAACTTTGATCATTTTACTGTAATTTAGAAATGTATTCTCGAGAAAGAAACCGTTTAAAACTTCAACGTCAAAATGTAAGCAAAGATTGTGTTCAAGTTTTCGTGGAACAACTTATGAAAAAAGAAAATCTTTTCATAGAAAGAATTATTATAAAATATAATTTATTCATACTAAATTATAAGCAAATGACATCGCTTTTTTTGAAAGTACTTTAATTATTTTACACTGTTTCTCTTAACCAAATAATAAACTCGAGTAAAAGATAAAAAATAATTAGCTTTTCGTATATATAATTATAAAAAAACCATTTATAAAGAACCAAAGATAAATATTTTTATTAAAGCATATAAAATAAAAGAATAGATTATTTTATTTTACCAAGCAAAAATAAAATAATAATAGATTGTTTCAAAATGTGATTCATCTGATAAAATTTTCCATCAATGCAAGAAATAAAAATATTTTCACATAAAATTAAGATCTTACAAGAGCGTAATTATTCATATCCAATGTAATGTTCAGATAAATCCAATGTTTCAGATAAAATTTTCCTAAAACAACCTCAATTGTTTTGGAAATATGGTGGCAAAATCGAAAAGCAACGAAAAAAAACAAAAAATGAAGAAAAAATAGTGCATACTAGCATATACAAACGATAATTACAAATTTACATTACAAATTACAAATTTTTAACATATTTAAATGTTTTTTATAATATTTTTTTAAATTTAATTTAAGAAATAATTTAATAATTTAATAAATAATAAAATTTATTATTACTCGATTTTAAAAAATATATTAAAAAATATTTTAAAAAATATTTAATAATATAATATAATAGAAAAAGTCGATAAAAGTTGATTTATATTTTTTTTTTTAATTAAAAAAAGAAAGACAAAAATCAATACCTCTGATGCAGTTTAAAAAACAATTTATTTACGCTTTTGATAAATCAATTTGTCTTTGTTGAAAAAAACTATAAAAAACTTAAAACATTAATAATCAAAATTTCTGTTTAATAGTTTTAATATTAAATACATCAGAAATATATTTTTTGCGAAAAATTACCGATCCCACGCAAATCAACAGCAGAAAAATGCAAACAAGTCATAGTCCATCATGTCAACGGAAATGAGTCGTGAAAAACGGCGGGAATATTATGCGTCAATATATAGATTCTTTATACTTAAATTCATCCCATAAATAATGTAAATTTTCTAAAATCTGACTATATCTTATAACTTTATTAAAGAAAAATTAAAATCTTTTCAAGACATATTTTAAGTCAATTTATTAATAAATTTATAATTTGGATATTTTCGATAATTCGAGTATAAATGTCTGTAGAAATTCTCATTTTTATTAACATTATTAAAACACAAATTTGTTTTATCATTTAAATATTATAGCAAATATATACTTTATTTTGAAGATTTTATATATTTAATAATATTCGCTCTAACAATAAAGAATGATCGTAACCAATATTAATTCATGGATTTTGATTAAAAAATTTATGATACAAAAGGATATTTTCTTTGAATCAAAAAAATTCGAACAAAATATCCAGTCCAATTTTTTAAATCACAAAGGATTTATAAAAAATATTTTTCATTTCCTATTTCCAATATACATACCTAAACAATTTCATTATTTATTGGATGACCTAATATCC